TTTAATTTAATCGCTAATCTTTCACCTAAAGATTGGCCCTAAATAATAAGTAATAAAATTAATGCATTAATTTCTCATTAACATTAATGTATAAAATAATTTATAAAAATAAAATACAGCGCTAAAGACCTCGATCTAACTAAATTTAAGTAAAATTGAATGTGTTAAAATCCTTTCTAATAAGTCCTATTCTCGATAATACATATCAGAAGAATAGTATCACTTCCCAGGTATTCCTTTTTTAGTTTATTTTGTCACACTGTGGAAACTTATATAAATATCATATTTAAAACACACAAGTTTGAATGGTATATAAGAGTTATTAGAAAGGATTTTAACCTATTTAATTTTAGTTGTATTTGGGTAGATCGAGGTCTTTTCTGCTGTATTTTTATTTTTGTTTATCAATTCTTATATATATATTAATGCTAATGGAAAATTAATGCATTAATTTTATTACTTATTTAATGTTAATGTAAAATTAATGCTCTAAATTGAGAAATATTTAATGTTAAGCAAAATTAATGTATTTATTTCAAAAATATTTAATGTTAATGTAAAATTAATGCATTAAATATTTAATGTTAATGCAAATTTAATGCATTCAATTTTACAAATTTAATGATAATGCAATACTTTCTACATTATTTTTTTTAATTTAATGTTAATGCAAAATTAATGGAAATCGCCCAGATCTGATATTCTGGACAATACACTAGTCTATAGCCTGGTCTATACACTAGTATATACTCTGAACTATACATTTGTCTATAGTATGGACTATACACTAGTTTATTGCCTATTCACAGGTCTATTGTCAATATACTGGTAAAATTGCATTGAAGTGGACTTTTAATCATTTAAAGCCAAACGCATTGTTGTGTGGGATTTTCTAACTCATGCCATTGCCAAAATTACATCGGCACACGTTCATCTAGTGTGGATACGAAATGGCTACAAATTACTTTTTTTTACACATAACCAGCATTTTTGGCAAGTCCGCACTGCAAGTTTTGCAAATTTCCTGTATAAGTTTTTTATGTAATTAGCTTCTAGGAAATACGGTATATGTTTTTGACCTTACCTTTAATTCCAATATACATTTTAAATTCAAATGTTTTGCAAGAACAAACTTTTTAATTTAAAATTATTTTAATCAGAAACTTCAAAGAAAATGAAAGATTTTTAAATTAAATATGGTAGCATGGATATGGAAACTTCAAAATTCTTAAGCATGTCAGATGTATAATTTCAAAAAATAAAGATAGATTGACACTACCTTCTCTCTTTCTACTATGTTTCATAACACTGAACACCAAGAAAATAAACTGTGACGTTTTTTTACAAAAATAACGTTCTCACAGATGAGTTCTGTATAACTCCAACACACATGTAAGAATGTCACTCTCTCTCAAAACTTTGTCTCGAAAATTCGTGGCTTATCGCACTTTAAAGTATTTTTTACCACTTAACGTTATATTTTGCTATTTTTTTGCACAATTTAAATATCTATTTTTTACAAACGAAAAAAATATTTTTTATTTTTTATACCCTACATCACTTTAGTGGGGAGGGTATATTGGATTTGTGCTGATGTTTGTAACATACAAAAATATTCGTCATAGACCCACCTTAAAGTATACCAATCGGCTTAGAATCGTTTTCTGAGTCGATTAAGCTATGTCCGTCCGTCTGGCTGGCTGGACGTCCATGTAAACCTTGTGCGCAAGGTACAGGTCGCAATTTTCGAATAAACGCACGTTTTATTGAAAATGGTTAAAATCGGTCCATTATTTCACCTAGCCCCCATAGAACAGAACCCCCGAAAAGGGCTTCTGAGCTCATAATTATGTTAAATATACAGATATATCGATAAAATACGGCACAACTAAGTTTTATAGAAGTCTTGATGACCCTGCCAAATTTCATAAAGATCGGACCCATTTGACCCTAGCTCCCATACAAAGTCCCCTTCAGAAAATTACTTGAATGTCCCAAATTAACTTATAAACACAAATATCGCGATGAAATTCAGCACAATAAAATATTATGTAAATATAAATATATTCACAAAATTTTATCGGGCTTGGTCCACATTTCCCCTAGCCCCCATATAAAGCCTCTTTCAGAAAATTAGTTTTTCATCCATAAATTGCTTAAATGTATCGGAACAAGGGAATATTGAAGATAAATGCTTTATTATGAAAAATAAATCACATTTAATATTCATAACTGGTGTAGGGTATCATATGGTCGGCCACGCCCGACTATACTTTCTTACTTGTTTAACATTAAATTTTTGTTGTTGAAATTAAAACTGAAAAAAGACAATGTTGTAAATTTTCGTATGGTACAATAAAAAAATATTTCAAATAAATTATTTATTTTTTCAATATTGCAGATTAAAAAGCCAACATACATTCTTCTAAAATGTTTATAGATAAATTGTGTTGCAAAATATTTAAAGAAATATTTTAAAATAAAAATTTAAATGTAATAATTTTTTTCAATATTTTTAAATCCGACTTTTTGCAACTATGTTGGCTTGAGAATTCTACTAATACATTCTTAGAGTTAGGTACCGACTGACAGTAGACTTAGGTACTTTTAGACAGCGTTTCACTTCTTGATGTTCAGTGGTTCATAATATTTATACTGAAAGTTTTTTCTGTGTTTTAATTTATTAGAAAAAAATTTGTTACAATCTGAAAAATGAATAAAAAGTTACTAAATTTATCTAAAGAAGATAATGATGTGTATGTATGTATATGACAAACGAAATCAAGAAAATTATATGTAAACGGTCGGGTTTTATAAATTTTGTTTTTCAAAACCCAATAGGTTTTGATTTGGTGTTAATGCACTATTAAGGTAGGTATAGGACCAATATTTTTGTACGTTACAATTTATGTGCAATTTATGCATTTATAACAACATATGCAACAACAAATCGATGCCATTTTGTAGCAAATTCTTTGATTCGAAAAGAAAAATAGTTAAAAGTTATTTTGAGTAACTGACGACAAACATGCATTTGCTTAGAAATCCTTGCCCTGGTCAGCATTAAATTTGAAAAAAAAAATTGTATTACGGATTTTTTCTATCGAAATATATTGCGACATATCATCATAGAATTAAAGACCGTTTATACCAAAAACAATGAGACGAGAAGTCATGGAAAACATTCATTATTTACATCATCCTGGTATCCGAGCAACAAAACAAATGTTAACTGAACTATATATGTATTTGGCCATCTATTAATAAAGGCGTTTCCTTGTGGTCTAAAAATTGTCAACATTGTCGAAGATCGAAAATAAATTGCTAAGAAGTGAGATCGAAAAATTCTTAACATACATATGTATATGTTAATAAAAACGAGTGATGAAATTTTGAACCTTTTTCGGAAACCCTTCCATTAACGTTCTTATAGTGCTTTCTGTCACTTTGCTCGTTAAAAATCTAGCACACTTTTGGACACCTTTCTTGTGCTCTTCAATTCTCTTTTAACAAGAGCCCAATATCTCTCTACTGGCCTTATCTCCTGGCAGTTTGGAGGATTTGCCTTTCTTGGTACAAATACCACATTATTGTTCTTGTACCACTCAAGGGCTTGTTTACCATAGTGATTGAAGAGGGGATTGATGTAAAAAATATCATTCAGTATTTTCGAACTACCAGTTTTCCTGTGCGAAGTTCAAACTTTGGAACAGAGAATATAATTATTATTATTATTACCAATACACCAATATATTCAAATTCGCAATTTGTTTTTACAAAATTCTAAACACTGCTCTACAGCACGCAGTACATATTTTAACATTATTTGTCTGGAGGGTGTGTAAATAATTCAAATGCAAAACACTTAAGGGGGTTTTACATTACAATACTTTGTATTTTTTGACTTATTTTCAACTTCAAATGGATTATGAAGGAAATTATTTTGTTATATAAAAGAAAACTATAAATAAATTGTGCATTTTGTAAAACAACACATTTTAAAAAATGTTTAAAATCTCAATACATTTCAAACTACAAAATGTTTTAGATTTTCAGACTTCAATACATTTTCAAATAATACTTTGTATTAATACAAAATTACATAATGTAAAGTACCTTTTAGAGGTCTCAGTAGTTTATATATATTCTTGTAAATGGTTGGAAATAATATCCCTTTACTTTAAAAAAAAACAATATTTAAAATAGCCTTATATGATATGATAGCCTTGATATGAAAAATTAGAAGAAATGTTAAAAATGTAATTTAATGAAAGTTTTTTAAAAATGTTAACGTTTGTTAAACCTGAAATATGAAGAAATTGATAAACTGAAATGTTGAGAATTAGTTTCACTTTACCCCAAATATCGCATTTTTGCGCTTTTTTAGTAATTAAATATTTTTTAGAGCGCTATCTTATACGCATTTTGAAATTTGATTAAAAGATCATTCGATTGAGAAATAATTTAAAACTCTACATTAATTCATCACAAATTTTTAAAACACTTCACAAGTGATACTTCGGCAAAGTTTTATTTTTTAATTTTTTTTCAATACAAACAAACTATGTAACATTGTTTATTTATAAAAATTTGGCAGCTTTGTTTTGTAAATCGTACTTAACTTAATTCTAAATATCAATCAATTCAAAAGTCAAAGAAAAAAATGTCATAAATAACGGAACATAATGAATTTTCACTTGTAATGTGACAAAAACTATCATGTGCAAAAGTGTTCGAATAGACCAATGTTGCGATCGTGTACGATAACCAGAGTTGTAATTGATTTTTTATTAAATTGTTACACTAAAATGTAATCTAATAAATATAGAATAAACATATGAATTTTCGTAAAAATATCTTAGGTAGAAAAAAAATTCATGGACATTTTATTAAAAAAGTAGCCAACATGAATACACTTTTGCTAGCCACTGTATATCTAAAATCTCTAAAAATTTAAAGTTTACATAAAATAACTGAGAAAATATTTTTTTTAATTATAGCGCCACCAGAAATAACAGTGGAAAAGTCATGGGTTCATGCCGCTGAAGGCTATGATATTGAGTTGGTATGCGTTGTGCATGGAGACGTTAATTCAGAAGTATGAATAATAATAAATACTTTAATAATTCAATTTATAAAATACAATCTTATTATTTTTATAATTATAGATGCTTTGGTATCAGAATTCCTTCCTTCTTGATCAAACAGATAGACGTTCCATGTATCCAAGAGACGACAGATATAGTCTTATTATAAGAAATTTTCAGTCATCAGATTTTGGAAATTATAGTTGTGTTGCTGATAACGCACTTGGGCGCACTAAAAAATACATTGAAGTTTCTGGACGACCTGGTCCGGCGGATTTTATATCACCAGCATTAAGCGGTTCATTAGATCACTATAATCTTACATGGACTATAGAATCCATTCCTCCACTTGAGGAAATAAAACTTTTATATAGACGATTACTGGTTAGCTATTTTTAAAATTAATTGAAAATTTTGTTAATGAAAATTGTGAATTTCAGATGAACGAAACCTATCAACACCCTGGAAAATGGCATGAATATCACATTAAACCTACTGCAGTGCGTACTGATAGCACACATTATATAATGTCATATGTCATAAAGAATCTTGAACATAATGCAGTATATGAGGCAATAGTGCAAGCTAGAAACAAATACGGCTGGAATGAGGTAAGATTTGATCAAGCTAAATATTATTTTAGGTAATACCATGTTCTCTCGGCAAATTTATTTTATAAACCCAGCGGTAAAAATACACGTTATGTACTCGCTTATCTAAGTGATATTTCGTGGCAGTCAGTGGTGATGCTTTCACTTATTCTTCCACTTAGATTTAACATAAAAGTGTCCTAGGCTGCCTCATCGATGTGCTCTCGCTTAGAATGTAAGCCACAGTTTCATTAAGACAAATTTAAATTTCACATACATAATGTGTGGAGTTCTAAGCGAAGTTAATGAGACTCCTATAAACGCTTGCAAATTAGAATGTAATGTATGTAGATTACAATCCTATTTGCATTTGTAAGTTAAAGTACCATGTCTTCCGATTTTGTTAAAGAAAAAATATATATTTTTTTACGTTTATTTCAAATTATGTAAGTTTATTTAAAAATTATCATCAAATAATAAACATGTATTATAGTTAATTCAATAAAAATATAATTAAACAATTTTAACGAAGATAAATGAAATGAATCTTAATTTTCTTTTGAAACTTTCGGCCATCTTCCTTTACAGATCCTGTAAACAAACAAGAGGAAATTGTCAATATTAAAACTAGAATGTATGAAGTAAATTTACCCCAATTTTTAAATCCGTTTGTGCCATTTAGATCACCACAATTATTTTAAATTTTTATAATAAAATAACTTTTTTAAGAAAACACAACTTCACTTACAAAAGATCAACTTTAAACTGAAACAAAAATATTATTCTTTTCATGTAGTATAGATACAAAAGAAAAATAAAACGATACTTTAGTTCTGTTTTTTTTTTTTTGTAAAGATATAAAAACAAAAAACAACATGAAAAAGGCAGCTAACTCTCTGCTTAAATCGTAATCTATGTTATAATTAAAGTGCATGATATGTTGGATTACACATGCATTACACTCTAAGTTCTTAGATTGCTCGCTTAGAACGTCATATTGATGTCATCGAATATTATCTAAGTACTTTGTTTCATTTACCGCTGGGAATTTACGTTTTGAGAGTTCATTGCCATGTTGTTTTAAGGGAAATGAACATATTATTAGGAAATATTAAGAAAAGTAAGGATGATGTAAACTTTACCCAAGTGCAAGATTACCTTAATGAACTTCATGAATTAATGCGGAGACAAATAAAAATGACTAGTGATAAACTGAATGACAGGTACGATCGAACTGCAAATTCTAAAGAATTTAACGAAGGCCAGCTTGTACTACTATATAGCCCGCAACGGAAGAATGATTTGTCCCCTAAACTACAAACACACTTTGAAGGACCGTATGTGGTTATTAAGAAATTAAACGATGCACATAGGGGCACAGACATATTAAAAGGGCGATAAATCAACCACTGGCTTTTGGTACAAGTGATTGGTATCATTGGAAAGATAACATTCTCCAGTTTTTGAATACGTAAAAATATTATAACCCAGCGAACAAAATTATGCAAAACAATTAAAAAATGTAAAATATATCAAAAATATTTTTTAAAATTTTTCTTAAATATTGGAATTATAAAAGTTAGTATATATTAGAATAATGTTATATATGTTTAAATAAATTGAAATACACTTAAAGAAAATTTTTGGTAAATTTTTAAACAAGTTAACAGGGTACAGAATTCTTTGAATATTTGATGATCATAAGTAGGTACTTAGACATCTACACGCAAAGAAAAAACATGGTTGTACATTTTCATTGCGATCAAAATATTTTCCTAAATGTCTCATATGACTATTACAATAAAACCTTAATTTATATAACCATTTAACATATATTATAAAATTACATGATCCTCAATTATGAAATTTATTTTATTATTCTACCAAACATTTGAAATTATTCCTATAAAAATTAATTTATTTTTCAAATTTGTAAACATATTTTAATTAAAATTTACTCTTTTAAAGAGTAAACATTGTGTGTGTTCTCAAATTAATTTAATATTAAAAATAAAAATTAAATAAAAACAAAATATATGTTATTAAAAGTAAGTATAAATGTGAATTTAGAATAGCAATTGCGTTTCCTATTTCTTTCATTTGTTTAGTTAAATATACTTAAAAGGACACCTTTTCTTATTTGAAGAAAAAAATTAGATGTATATTTGAGTTTAATTGACATTATTACTGTGACGTCATTGTTAAAACAAAAAAAGTTGAAGTTCAAACATGTATTGCTTACTGTTTCTATGTATTTTCAATATTAAACTTTCAATATTTATACGAATCATTTAATTTTTGAAGGTACAACATCATTGTTGAATATGCCATTTTTCTCTCTAAAACACCACAGAGCGTCATTTGATAATAAGAACTTGAAGATTAAAGAAGTGTAAGAAACAAGTAATTGAAATTAAAATAAAAAAAATAATTGAATTAAAAAAAATACATTTTCTTATAAAACTATGTGAGTGTAAAATATATAAAGTGATTATTTAATTCATAAAGTATAAGAAATTTTCTATTTTTACATATTTTATAATTTTTCTTTTTAATTGTTGTAAACATATCTTTTTGGTGAAATGTCACAAAATTATTTTTTTTTAATATCCATAGTCAACGAGTAATTCTAATTTGGATGTATTTTTCGTGTCCGCAGAACAAAAGAATCGTATACCAGACTCTACACCGTTTGATCACCTGATCATTGGAAAATTGTAATTTTGATTTATTGTTATTTTAATTAAAATTATTTTTTGTTGGTAATAAAATGATTCCCTTAAATATTTGATGTTATTAATGGGGATAATATAATGGTAAATTAAAGAACAAATTATGGTATTGTAGGAATCATATTATAATTGTTATAGGAACAATAATATGTTAACTTATGACAACCTACAAGAATCATATTATGATCTCCAAAGGGAAATATTTTATATGGTTGTCCTAATTATAATTCCAAACATTAATGATAGTTTCAGTTTATGGTAGCCCTAACCATATTTCTTCATTGCGTGTACTAATCGAAATTTTTCTCAATATATGTATGTATGTAGTAACAATTGCAACCTTAATTTTATGATTAAGTCGTTTCTAATCATTACCTCAAAGTTAAAGGAAAATTTTAGTAACTATAACTATACTATAATGCATTCATTGATATTGTAATTCGAAATTGTCATCCTTAAATGTACCGATCTATTATTGTACAGATCGTTAATCTAAAGATGAACTATAATAGCGGTAATTACTTAGAATCTTGTTTAGAATATTTTCTAAGGAATATTGAGATAAGAAGTTTAATTAAGTAATATATTGGACATATTATTAACTGAAGTTAGCTACTTTTAAGCGTTTATTAGTTCCCAAAAATTAACATTCAAACTGTGGACATATTCTATTACATTTTTATACTATATACATATGTTATGAATGTATACCAATTGGATATATAAACAAATTTAATAGTTTTCTGATTCCTAACTATTCTGATTGAAACTTTAATCGATTGTTTGATGGGTAATGCTTATGTGTATTTAAATTTTGTATCTATTTTAGAGCTTAGACATCATAATATATTTAAGAAACCATATAAAACAATGGTTGTAACAGAAATTTTACATCAAGAAGTTAATTAATACTAAATAAAGTACAACAAGTGAGAGTGGTTTCGGCCATGCCGAATCTTATATACCCACCATCAAATCATCATTATTAATAAAATTTGATATTATCGAAGCAATTTTCTCATTTAGATCTATGTTGAATTTAATCATCATATGTCGATATTAATATGAACATCAGGGAAATATTTGGAAGAGGGCCTTTAACAAGGGCTTTAATATGGACCCTGCTCTTCCGAATTAAAAATAAAAATTTTTTTTGGTCCAATATTTATAACTATAAATTTTTTTTGTAAGAGTGGTTATATGGAGGGTAGTGTCAATTATGGACCTATTCTCATCGGTTTATACAATAATTAAATATCTTTAATTCAGTCATGAGGTTTAAAGTAATTTTCTGAAGGAAATCGATAATGGGGGGTTAGATTAGTTATCGACCGATCATCAAATTCAGTTCAAAAATTTCAGTTCCTATAAAACTACTGTAATTTGGAAGAACTTTTGAGCCATAGATGAGCTTTAAAGTCATTATCTGGAGTGAATCTTATATAAGAGTCAATTATAGACCGATCTTCATAAACTTTTATACATAAAATATGTTTCGTATAGAAGTTTTTTATTCGAACTTCATCGCCTAAGTCGTAATTTTAAGTAATTTTACTGGAGTGGTCATTTATTGATCCATCTTCATCAAAGTCGGTAGGAAGATTTCAGTACCCATAAAACTTGTTTATGTTGAATTTCATATATCTACTCGTATATTAATGCCAGTAATGAGCGTTAAAGGTGCCCTTATATGGGGTGGGGTCAATTATGGACCGATCCTCCTAAAATTTAGAACGATTTTTCTTCATACAAATATTGTTTATGTCGCATTTTTGAGGCTCATACAAAACTTTTTTATGTGAAATTTCATCGCTGTAGTCGTATTTGACCGTTACAGCCAGTAATGGGCGTTACAGCCGTTTTCCTTCTTATATGGAGGGTGGGGTCAATTATAGACTGATTCCTATAAAATTTGGTAAAGAGTTTTTGTCTAGCACAAGACTTGTTAATGGACCCATCCTTATAAAATAATAAGGTCCCAGAATATATATACTTTTATGGGTCTTGGACGAATATTTCAATGTGTTACAAATGGAATGACAAAAACAATATACCCCCCATATTTGTTGATAGTGGGTATAAAAAAAGTGGCATCTCTAAAAAACATTTTTAAAAACTCAGTATTAAATAATTTATAATTTTAAATAATTATAGTATTAAATAATTTATAATTTTAATAAAATATTGACATTTTGCATATAAACCTTATTGAAATCAGTTATTAAATAAATCAGTTTGAAAAAATCTATGTGTATATAAATATTTTCAATCTGGAAAAAATCAAAAGCGCAAAAATCCGCAAAATGTTAAAAAAGATTATAATTCTAGACATCCCCTATTTTAACGGATATATAATAGTTATGCCCATTTTTGGGCATTTGTGTTACTTTTTTACCTTTAAAGTATTGAAAATAAAAAAATAATAATTATAATTTTCCTTTCAAGTTAACTGCATTTTGACACTTGTTAACATTATTATGTCTTAAAAATTCGTAAATTAATTCTCAACGAAATATAGTATTATAATTCCTAAAGGAAAAGTAGATTTTTTACAATAGAACGTCATATTATTAACATCAAATATAGGTCCTTCAACAGGAATTATTACTCCATTTCAATTATATATTTTTTTCATCAACTTTCAACTCAGGTCAAGCTCAGATTAAAACTTCTAGGAAAATTGTTGTGAACAAATCTAGAAAAGTGTCTATTTTGAAACGATATATCATTTGTTTCATAAAGATCAGTTTTCATTTTTGACTTATCGCCACAGGTCTCTATGTGGCTGCCCCGTCATGCGATGCGGTCTATAGAATACGGAAATACAAGAGCCCGAGGTCCAAATAAAAGGTTGTATACATAGAACGATTAGCTGTGCCTATTCGGGACGGCTTAAGCGGGGGACAGTGTTACGAAATTGTATTTGCATTTAAACTAAACCTGAGGAAAAGATGCTGTACACTGGCTATATCACTGGATATCGAGAAGGCGTTTGATTATACCAGTCATAAGGGCATTCTGTATAAACTGGTTGTACTCGCGGTAGATCTATTTCTTGTTAAACTATTTAAAAGTTTTTTACAGACCGAAAATTGTGTGTTGAAATAAAAGACAATGTGTCCTCATGCGGTCTTTTTAACAGTGATGTACCGTAGTGTAGTATACTTGCTTCATACTTATTTAATATATATTTGTATGATTTCCCACACACAAAAGATAATTCTACTGCTATTTTATATGCCGGCGACTGTATGGTTTATAGCATACAGGCGCTAAGAAACACTGCCTCACATATGGGTTCCATTTGTAGTTACTACAATAAATGAGGAATAAAAATAATCTCTGCAAAATCAAAGGCCATATGTATTAGAAACACATCGGGTAAGTGCGCTGACTAGGTATGCCGTTCCTCAAATCAAATGCCAACTTCTCACATTAAAAGAGGTTGAAATACCCATAAAGGACAACGTTGTATATCTTGGAGTTATGTATATTGATTATGAAGCAATCGTGATAAAATTTCGTAAGTTAGTTTAATGTACCTAAAAATTATGATATAAAGAATGATAAGAGGTTCAATCCATAATTGATCGTAGCCCCCATTAAATTAACTATTCTAAAATATCCCTAATGCTTATATTAATATCGATATATGGGTAATTTCAATTTCGAACATGACACTCTTCGATTTCGATGAAATTCGGTAAAAATTTCTGGAGTCAAGGATATCTCGTAAAATGCATCTTCCTACAATGAAATGAAAAATATGAAAGTTAACTTTTAGTAAAACAATCCATATCATTGCCCTACAAACTTTATAAATTACTTCTTTGGTGAACAAAAAAATTTAATTCGAACAAAAAATAAATAGTCCTTCAAAAATAAATTCGAAATAAAATTTACTAAAATACAAGTTTCTTGAGATCACCTCATTGACCCATTCTGATTTATTATATGATGTTGTGCTGGTCAAACTGCAACACATATCGATTAATTGAGGCCATGAGAAAAAATGTTAAAAATATTAAAAATGTTAAAAAATCTGGAATACTTAAATTTTGTATTTATGCTTTTATCAAATTTTGTAATGTTTAAAATTTATAAAAAAAAATAAAAATCAACAACAGCGCAAAAATTATAAAAAATCCCCAAATTTTACGAAAATCCTCAAATCCCTCCCCCTGAAAATCTGTCCCTAAATAAAACATAAATCCCACATCCGGCGACACTGGTTATAACAAGATACTTATTCACAAATGCATGCACAGTCTAGTTCCATAAAACTGCTAAAACTCATGTAAAGAGATCGCGAATATTTCAAAATATCATTTTTAGAAAATTTATTATTTTAATCTATACCCCAAATTTTTAAACGACTTATTGTATAGACCCGACAATCACATTCATTTACATACATATATGTATTATATTAACTACTTTATATTACTTTATATTAACTAAGAATTAAGTAATGTAATGATATGAAATAATAAACAATATTGAATAATAAATTTTATTTATATTTTCAGATAAGCGATATTCATCAATTTTATACTAGAAATCACGATTTGCTGCTTGATCTAGATATGGAATATAAAATGGGTATATCGAACGGAGTAAATACTAAAATAAGTCTTTTCAAACTTCTCTTATGTTTCGTATATTTTACTCAAAATTTGTTGTATTTTTAAGATATTAATTTAATACTGTAATTTAAATATATATACATACATATATTTTACTTTAATTATACAATGTGCCTTACATTAAGTATTTATTTGTATTTTTTACGTTTATTTTCACAATCTCCAACCAATTATGTACATACAATAATTTAGCCGAACGATTAACATAAATAAGGATTTTATTCACAAATAACATTAAAAAAAGTATTTCTGTTTTAAGGTTTTAACTAATATTTTTTATTAATAATGCAGCCAGTATTAGAATATTTTTCGTATTAGGAGGGCTTCTAATTGGTCACCAAGGGTAAAAAAATTGTCACGAGATAATTTACAAATTAACTGTAATCCGGTTTTCAAGTTTCGAAAACTAACCAAAAATCAATAAAAAATATAGATCTTTAGTTAAAAAAAAATATATATATATATTGTAATAATTGAAGAAGGGCTTATTGCAGTAAATTGATAAGCCAACCATCATCATATGAAATTCGATGTGCTTGTTTAGTTACTAAAAATCATATCTATTTACCCTAAGAAAATTTTTAGCATATTATGGTAAAGTGGCGATATAAGAGTCATGCCTGTTCACATTCAAATTTATAAACAATGACATATTACTGTGTATTTTAAACAAAGTTTGTTGTTTAATTCAAATTTTTTCCATAAGATACAAGAATATATGTATATAATTCAAACTAAAAACTTAAAATTTATAATGAAACTTAATTTTTATCCGATAACTAACATATAATTTTAAGCATACCCGGGTATGTTGGGTATTGATGTACGAGGTAAAAGTAGAAAATCGGTTAAACAATTTGTAAGAATTTTTATTTCTTAAACTCGATATGGCACATATTTTTGAGTATTTATATACCCTTTACCTTCATGTATATATAAATTTGTCATTCCGTTTGTAATTTCCACAATATAGTTTTCCGACCCTATAAAGTATATATATTCTGAATCTTTATAGTCGATTAAGACATGTCCATCTGTCTGTCCGTCTAATTGTCTGTTGAAATCAATTTTCTGAAGACCCCAGTTAATTCTATCAGACATGCTTTCGAGAAGTTTGCTATTTAAAATTAGCAAAATCCGTCCATAAATAACGGAGATATAAGAAAAAAATCCGAGACAACCTCTGAAAATTTCATCAAAAAAAGAGAATGTTAGTATATGATTAAAAAAAAACAACAAGATACGCTTATTGAAAAAGCGTGTATGTGGTTGTATGTTGGTTTCATTGCATTGCGTATTTTGTTGGTTTTTTGTGTTTTCGTTTGGCGTTAGATTTGTTGTTGTATGTTTTGCTATTGCTAAATTAAAGGTAGAGTAGGAAAATATGAAATAAATTGAAATGTTTTAAAATTAAACTAATTTTAAACACACTGTGGTGAAGGGTATATAAGATTCGGCAAAGGCGTATATTGATCTCTTAGTTGTTTTATGTTACTGTTAAGTATAATTACTAAGTATAATTTACTAAGAAAAAATACTCGGTAGATGTAATTTTTTTAAAATAAAATTTCGTTTTTTATTATAGAAAAAGCTTTAAATTTTATTAAATTAAATACCCTAAAGCTTTTCTTACCCACTACCATGAGAAATCAGAATCGAAAATTTCAATAATATTTCGGGCATATTTTTTACCTTTTGTAGCTTTTTTAATAGTTTTATTATTTTATATGCTAATATTTAAATGGACTTTTATTGGAAAACATTTGTTGGAATAACAGTTATCTTAAAAAATTACAAATATGTTTTTTGGTATTCCCATAAATAAAAACTAATATGTATATCAACACTTTCACGTCAATATTAAGATAATTCATTATTTTTTTAATTATTAATTTTTATGTACAATATTTTAAGTACATATAACAAGCCAGAGTGTTATATTCGGTTGTGCCGAATCTTAAATACCCTCCACACTCTTTTTTACACAAGAAAATTTCATGTAAAGATTATTAGTTTGCAAACGATAAAAAGCCTAGTTAATGGTGTAGTGTGTATGACGTTGAACTAGGACATGAGAGGATATAATAGGTTCAAATCCTGTTTGTTTGGAGAATTCATGAAATTATATATACCGTAGTTTTTGTAAAAAAAAAAAAATCAAAAATAGGCGAAAAATCAAAAATTTTTTCGAGGTTGTCTTAAATTTTTACTCGAAGCTCTAGGACAAGAATAAATATTTCGGGTGAATTTCAGTAAATTCTAGTGGCGTACTCCGTTTTGAAAAGTTGGGTCAAAATCGGGAGATATTGGGTTTTAAAGTATGAACATCTATGAGGTGATTTTTTCTTTTTTTAAATTTTGAAAAAAAAAATTAGGTATAGACATACAAACTAATTATAAATTATTATGGACTCTAGTTTCATGTATTTATTTACTTTTCTATGCGTGAGAGATTTGTTTTTTAAATTTAAATAATCAAAAATCACCTCAGAAACAGTTTAAACTTTAAAATACAATATCTCCCGATTTTGACCCAACTTTTCAAAACGGAGTATGTCACTAGATTCTGCGACCAAAAATAAAGTTTACGTTTTTCGGCGTTTTTCTGTGTCTTTTTGAAAGTGTTCTTGTATTATCATCAGAAGAGTCAGTAATATGATTTTTATACATTTGAACGTTTTTGTGTGTTTGTGTTATCTGAAGGGCGATATTTAGAGTTAAAATATCCAAGTTTATAGCTGTATCAAATGTGGGCTTTGTATTAAAGCTATGTCTTATCATGGACCATTTTTTTAAAAAATTTAAGTTGAACGATTTTTGTGTATGTAAAAATTAGTTGTTTTGAATTTTATATTGATATAAGCATTAGGGTGGGTCGAAAATAGGCTTTTCTCTCGGATCAATTTCTAATAGTGAAATTATGTTGTATTTTAACGTCAAGACTGTAAAATATTATTCAATTATTTTGAGGGTAAGAGCCTTCACATCGCCGCCAATAACTTTTATTTCTGCTCAAAAAAATAAAAGTCAAAAAATAACTTTCTGCTCAAAATATAAAAGTAAAAAAATAACTCTTATTTTGTGACTTTTATAATAAAAGTCATAAGAGTTACGGTCCCTGGGAATGACAAATAACAAAGTTATATCCATTTTTATGTTATATAATTCATATTCTTAAAATTTAGTTCACGACGATCAAAATAGTATACTTGATGTTGTTCTCCGATATTTTCTTGTAGTTGCTTTTTTATTTAAAAATTCAAAAATAATTATTATTTTCGGTCCCTGGTCCACATTAATGTGGACCACATTAATGTTCTATACCTGTTTTCACTAGAAGGTAAGATTTGGTCGAAATGAAAAGAAAATAACATTCCCAGCAAAAATCTGAAATTTTTGGTAATAGCCAATAGTTATTTCATACATTACTTGGTAATGAGTGTTTATTATCATCCACATTATAAAGTAGCATCACTTGAACAGCTGTCTATTCTTTTTTAAACTAGATAAATGAAGAAGTTGTCAAAGTGTATTTTGAAAATTATCAATATTGTTTATGTCGCAATTTTTAGGTTTCTTAAAATTTTTGAAAAGTTGAAAAATTGAATTAAAAGTGTTATACATATATAATAATATAATTATATCCTTAATATTTTAAACTAAAAATAATTTTTTAATTTATGTTTTCTTCACATTATAGGCCCAACTATAATGTGCATAAGCTTGCTTAAGGTAATGTCAAAATCGAACGAAAAGTCTCTCAAATGCTTAAGAAAATCCGAGGAAACTTTTAGGTGGCTATAATGTACTTACGTGCATTCAAAGCAATTAAGCTTTTGAATGCAATGGAATAAATTCATTTTCTTGTAGCTTTCCATTTTTATACCCTACACCACTTTAGTGGGGAGGGTATATTGGGTTTGTGCTGATGTTTGTAACGCACAATAATATTGGTCCTATACCCACCTTAAAGTATACCAATCGGCTCAGAATCATTTTCTGAGTCGATTTAGCTATGTCCGTCTGTCCGTCTGTTCGTCCATGTAAACTTTGTAATCAAACTACAGGTCGCAATTTTGAAGATAATTCAATGAAATTTGGTACATGATCTTCTATTGTCCCAGGGACGAAGTCGGTCATTATTCACCTAGCCCCCATACATCTGAACCCCTCGAATAGGGCTTTTAAAACTTGTAATCAAACTACAGGTCGCAATTTTGGAGATAATTCAATGAAATTTGTCACATGATCTTTTATGGCTATTGAAAATGGTTACCATCGGTCCATTATTTCACCTAGCCCCCATACAACTGAACCCCCGAATAGGGCTTTTAAAACTTTGTAATCAAACTACAGTTCGCAATTTTGGAGATAATTCAATGAAATTTGGCACATGATCTTTTATGGTACAGTAGATAAAGCCTGTTGAAAATGGTTTACATCGGTCCATTATTTCACCTAGCCCCCATACAACTGAACCCGCTGAATAGGGCTTTTAAGTTCATAATTATATTTAATATACTCATATCTCGACAAAAAGCTGCAATAACCAAGTTATATACAAGACTTGATGACCCCCACGAATTCCATAATAATGGGTTCTCATATGACCTTAGCCCCTATGATAAGCCCCCATCAAAATTTCACTTAAATGTCCACAATTTTATTCAACAATAAACGGCTTAAGTATGTATATCTAAGGCAAGGTACAATTCAACTTAAATGCTTTATTATGGCAACTAAATCACATTATATTTTTGTCAAAGGTGTAGGGTATTATATGGTCGGCCTCGCCCGACTATAATTTCTTACTTGTTTTCTTTATTTTCTTTGTGTATAATAAACAAACAATTGATTCCGTACGTAATGTGCTGTCAGTATCGCTCTTTGCTTAAGCAAATAAAATTTGACGAAACTTGACGAAACTCTCTTAAGTACATTATAGTTTGTCACATACATTTTATATGTGTTCGCACAGTTGCTTAAGCTGACTTCAGTTTGTTTAAGCATATTATAGTTAGGCCTTATTGTAGAATGATTTTTTTGTTAAATTTTATAAACAAAAACCTTATGATTTTGACACAATCTTCAACTATACAACTAGATGTTGTTGTACAACAAGAGATGTCGCTTTTTTAATAAATTTACTTTTATTTTTAGTTTAAATCGTTTTTTTTATGAAATGTAAAACATACATATATACATACATACATACTAGAGCCCTGCATGAGTGACTTAAATAATATTTTAAAACATTTAATTTTTTGAAAGTACTGTTTTTGACTCACTCATTGTTTTTTGAATGAATATAATAATTTATTCAAAACAAAAATGTATATGACAAAAAATTCAAATAAAGTAAAATACATGAATGTAAAGAGTATTGTATGATATGAGTATTGAGAGTGTTTTTGTGTTTCAAATCGAGTGCAAAACAGCGAGTGAATCGAATTATAGAAGGATTTATTATGTGTTTTAATTAGAATGCAATTCTTTGAACGAATTACCGTTCTTATGAATTTCTATAGCGAGATTACAAATAAAATGCATTATTGTTATGTATATATGTATATTTTATTAATTTAACTCATGTAATAATTATATTTGAATGTTATTTAGAGATGTAAACAAAACTACTGTAAAGTGAAAAAATATGAAATATAAGGATTCTTATAATTATATATTAGCACTGAGAGCACCTTCTTCTTGTGGAACAGCGTATTTTTTGTGATTCATGTGTAAGAAAATAATTTGATTTACAGCAATATCATTTGAGGCAATGGAGCATCTTTTTTCAGAAATTACGTTGCGGGCACAAGAGAAAACCCGTTCTGAAGGTGCGCTACTTGCTGGTATTGCTAAGATTCGGCAGCTTAATTTGTGTAAAAAGGGGAACTCGTTCTTATGCGAATCCCACCACTTAAGTGTGTCGAAATCATCAAAAAATGACACTTCTGTGTTTTCGTATCGTCTCAACTCTGAGGCCACTAAATCCTCGTTGGTTTGAAAATCAGATGATCGAATAAAATCTGAAAACAGCTCTAAATTTTTCGATGAGATTGAGGCTACTGACAGTTGTTGTGGTTCTGTTATAGGCTCACAATTCTGTACTAGGCTTTGTATCAACTCGATACATTTTAATTTTATAAGATTTCGATCTTCTTCAGAAAAACTTAGCAATTTGTTTGCAGGGGGGAACAGGAATAGAGCAACTCGATGCCAGATGGAAAAATTAGAAAAAACTACAGTATCCAAGTAGTGCCTAAGCTTGCTTTTCAAAGCCTGGGCAATACTTATATCCTCGTTGTTTTCAGCGCATTTCTTTTGAAGGCTGTTTACATAAATGTAGACTAAATGAATTGTTGGATATTTCTCTCCCTCTAGTATCTTCGAGGCTTCTTCAAAGGGTCGAATTATATCCAACACAGCAGTTATATTTCTTAAATCAATATTCTGTATACGATGGATTTCATGCCTTTCTTGTAATATGAAAACAACTTCGTCCCAGCTGCTTTTTAATGACGACAACAGATAATGGAAAGTATTCCATCTTGAAGGACAAAAGCTTTTTAAGGACTTTCTTATATTTGAATTTATCCCAGACTTTTTAAAGTACCCCACTATATTGGTGGCTACATCGCAAATAAATTTTACTTCTGGGACTGCATCTATGGATTTCTGAATAACATTATTCAGTAGATGGTTAATACAATATATATGGGCAGTGCTGCGGAAAGCAGCAACCATATTTGATCCTCTGTCCGTCACGACGGTAACATTTTCAGTGAATACACAATCAAATTCGCTAAGTATGTTACAAACTTTGCAGTATATGTTATCACCTAAAGGATTTCAGAATAATTAATAAGAAATCAGTGGCCATTAAAATTTTATAATGGTATATACAACTTACTAGTACATTTTTCGCCATTCATGCTGCGTATTCCCAACAAAACGTTATTCAATTGTGTATCTTTTATATAATGCATTGTTATTGCCAAAAATGATTTGTGTAAATAGCTGTCCGTCCACAAATCGGTGGTTAGAGCGAACCCAATGTCCTTTACTTTAGTGATGTCGGATTTTATCTCAGAAAATGCTACATCGTAAAGCTTACAAACATTTCTTCCTACTGTTGTTGAGTGTGGAAGTAATGATTTTACATCGACGTGCTTACCATATTTTGAGCCGATGGACAAAACGAAGCTAACAAGTTCATGAAGACCGGAATCTTCCACCAATGTAAAAGGTCTGCAGTTTTCAATAATCCATTTGGTAAATATATACAATGCTTTCCTTTTTGTGTCACTATCCACTAAAACGTTGTATACGTTATACAATTATCATACGGTTTAGTATTTATTAATTAGATATACCTCATTGTTTTCATTTTTAAATTAATTTGCGATATCATGTTTTTTTTATTATTTTTCTTTTTAAATTATTTTTATTTTGGCATTTAAAACTCGATTCACTCGATTCAAAATATTTATTTTGTATTCTTTTAATATACGTAAGTTGTTAACTTACTCGATTTGAATGTAGACGTACACTTACACAAAAATACTCGCAATGATTGAGTAAAACAAAAATTTGAAATATTAAAATCAAATGTACACACTCTTTGTAAATAATATTCAAAATACAAAATGAGTTGAGTGCAATGCAGTGGATTACTCATTGTGGGTGACAAATAGAGTCACTCATGCAGGGCTCTAATACATACATACATACATACATACATACATACATACATACATACATACATACATACATACATACATACATACATACATACATACATACATACATACATACATACATACATACATACATACATACATACATACATACATACATACATACAT